TCTGCAGCGCTTCCTACGTGTGCACAAGCGTCATCAAGCTCTGAAGAGCTGACACGACGAGGGCCTCTCTTTTTGCCAGCTGCCATATTGGAATGAACTTGAGCTGAAAGTATTGATCCTGTTTCTGGACGCCAATGACACAACCTGGCTCTGCTTTAAAGGTGACTCCATCCAGACCCTCCTTGTGTTAGGGTGGTTAGGCAAGGCGCGGAAGATTCGCCTGGTGTCAAGGTGCTATTCAGAGTTAGAACGTGCGTGTGTGTGTCTGTGTGTGTGTGTGTTTGTGTAGACAATTGATTTTGTTTATATTTGATGTGATTAAACAGAGGAGAGCGTTCACTGTTGCTGGAATTACAATTATGGGTTTCAATGCAGCAGACGTGTAACACGGGTTAGAGAAATGTCCTCAAGGTAATATATTCCATTTGCTGATTACTTTTAACCACTTCTGAAAACATTTTGATAATGAATAAGATAAAACTGTGATAGTGTTGGAAACTATGTTCACATTGCAGGCAAATAGGCCCAAATCTGATATTTTTTACCCCCCATAAGGATCCCATAACCAATTAACTTGGTATTTTCTAATCCGAACCATCTTTTTGATACGTGTTATAAATTGAACATTGCATTTATCTGACTGATTGAGGTAGGGCTAAACGAATCAATCCAGATACTGATGTTACCAATACCAACTTCATTCAGTTTAAAACTTCTCTCCACATCTTCAGCTACAGAACACAGGTCCAGTTGTCTGTTTTAAACTTTCCACACCTGTCATGTCTTGGATGACTGAGAATTTACTTGTTAGATCATATAGATACTTGAGTTTGTTTTTACTTTCAGTACGTCGCCTCTATTTCATGTCATATCCGTGTTTATTTTCCTTAGTTTTCTAGTGTTTCTGTGTTCCCCTGTGTATCTCTGCCCCGCTCACCTGTTTCCTCTTGTGTCCCTTCCAGGTGTTCCTTGTTGTCCTTAATTAGTTTGCTTTATATTCTGTGTCCTGTGTTCAGTCTGGGTCGGATCATTGCTTTGTCAACCTCAGTCAGTGTGGTGTCTCTATGTTCCTTGTACCTGTTCCTGCTGAGACTTGGTAAGTTTTTGAGCTGCCTCATCAGCCTTTTTGTTTTGTTACTTTTTGGATTTTCACCCGTGCCCTGGGTTCATTCTGCACACAACCTCATATTTCAGAAGCACAACTCTGTGTCAAAGTAGGGGGGAAATGGGCAAAATCAAATGTAAACACTATGAAACAAGCACAGTCAAGGTGGACTGCTTGGGGTTTTGCTGGGCGTCCAACCTTCAAAGCTCTGGCAGGAGGGAAGCCATTCATTCCAAAATGGAAGCTGCAGATAAAGACACACGTTGGCTTTAGATAAAGAAGGTGGGCCCGTGGGTTGGTGCTACTGGGACGCCATCCTGGAATGGTGACCTCTACTAGTGACGTTATATATAAATTATCTGCCGTTCTCTCAAATGATGGTATAATTGGATTATATGGAGATTCAAATATCATAACATGAAAAGATCTTCCCAGAGTAAATTCTGACGCATCTGGCTTCAGAAATCACAGGAAAGTTCAGTTAAAATGTTGGCTGGAGGGTTGAGGTCTTCCACACACACGGTTCTGAAAATAACATGAGTGGAGAAGATCCCCCATCAATCGACCTGAGCGAGGGGGTCTGATCTTGAAAGATCCGAACCCCCTGATGACCTCAGGAACAGCACTGACGATGCATGCCAGTGCATCCTAGAGATGTATTAAATAGTCAGTCGACCCGATTGCATGACTTTAGAATCGACCCGCACTTCATGAGGGTCACATGGGGTCGCTTCAGGGTCATCGACTGCACACTGGAGTCTGATGGCGATGGCATTTATTGGGGGAAAATCTAAAATGAGCAAAAACTCTGAAGATCTGCAGTGTGAATGCAGCCTGAGAGACTGAGGGAAGCTAACATGGCAGCAAATGTTCAACACATGAAATTGAAAAAAGAGAGGAGACATTTCACACCTTGTTGCACCAAATTCTAAATTCTAAGGAATGTGTTTTTTCCAAAAACCACACAGCAAGCCATAATAAGTTGGAGCTCAACTAAAGTGCTTTGGTATAATAAAAAATAGTACAGTTGAACTAGATGCAGAAATTGATTTTGGGACATTATATCAGTTTTTTTGGCATACCCATAAAAATCCTGTCCCTCCATAAGACTGCAGGTCCTGATTAGGGATGTCCCGATACAACTTTTTCACTTCCGATACGATACCGATATTGCAACTTTGAGAATTGTCCGATACCGATATTGACCCGATACCATATCAGTACGAATCACACACTTTTACCTATTTTGTAAAAATCTTAGAAAAGTCTTGATCAAGTCAAACAGTGAAAAAGAGTAGGTATGAGAAAAACTGACCCATTTAGTTTTAACCAATGAATCACATCGGCCTACATTTTAAAATGAAGAACATTCCACAATTTAATAAATAAAATAAATTACAATACCCTGAAAAAATAACATATTAAAAACTAAATGTACTTTTAAAGTGTAAAATAATTCAAAATCAGTCCAGTTATTTTTTTTTACCATCTGTCAGCCTTGTGCCACTTTATGTTGGGAATAGCTGAAGGTGGGGACAAAACAAAACCCCACATTATTGTCTGTTCAAAGTTGAGTCCACAGCATTAATTTTACTGACTGTGCTCAGATCACCAACTCCCTGCACACCAGCCCTGCTTCTGATTAACACCAACTGCTCTTGTGGTTTTGTTTTAACGCTCCTCGGCCGAATGAGAAATTAAGAGGCAAGAGATAGAGGCTAATAGCATTTATTAACCCAGCGTGAGCTCGCAGCCGCCCCCCCCACCAGCCTCGTATTGTCGTTGTGCAAGAGAGAGGCGAGTCGAACACAACAAAAACTCCAACAAATGCACCCAGCTGATTAATGGAGCCTCGTGGCTGCAGCAATTATCCCTCTCCACACTCCTCCGGCAGACAAGCCAAACGAGTGTGTGGCAGCCGGAGGAAATTCTGTAAATGATGGATTTGTGGGACTCGGTTTAGTGAGCTTCACCTAAGTAAGTGGATAAAGACACAGGTTTTTAGATTTGATGAAGTGTTGAGGTGAAGATGAGGCGTTTAAAATCCCCTTTTTAAAGTTCAGTTTCTTCAGAAGTGTTTGAAATTTAGATTTTTTTTTAAAGAACAAATATACATACAGTAAAACAACCAGCATACATTACATGTAATATGATACAAGATCCTCTTTATGATACATAAAATCTGCTCTATTTAAAACAAAGTTAATATTTCACAAACCATTTGCCATCCATTTCATAACTGTTTTCTTATTTATTGTTTCAATAAACAATACTTCAACAAAAGGTCATACAATGAGTACATTAAAAACCTTGTTTGACAGAATCCTCAGTTTATTAACAGTGTAAGTGTGAATACTTTTATGCACTCTAAAAACTATCTATTTAAAAAAAGTACCTTCCTGAGGAAGTCCAAGTGTTTTAGTTACAATCGACATGATTTGGTTTTAAACATTTTGTTTAATTAAAGTTTGTTTTGTTATTAGGTGAGCAGATTAGTTAATTTAAGCTTTTGTAACTTTTTCGTCCACGCAAATATTCTCTTTTTTTAGCACAAACTATTTTTTCTGGGGGGAGGGGGGGGGATAATTAAAATTTTGTTCTCAAAATGCTTATCATAACTCAAAAAACAGTGACTAAAATTCAAAAATATCTTTATTTCTCTTCTTATTTTGCATAAAAGTGACTTTTTTCAACATTGTTCTGGATAGAAAATGCTTCTATGATTTTAAAATGTTTTTTTTATTTTTAAATATCCTTTAGAACAGTTTAACGATCTAAAAATAGTAAAAGCTTTTGAGGTGGTCAAGAGGTCTTAACACATAAACCCAATCAAAAGGGAATGTGTGATGAGCGGATCGTGACCCTCACCCCAACACAGTATATAATTACTATTTATTGACAGATAACAGCTGTGCATTTCTTTCAACTGTTACAGAACAAGCTGCTGATTGCACAAATCTGTGACCTGGTTTACACTTCCTGAGATTTCTGCTCTGCTTACTTTATTTCATTTAAAAATATGAACCGAATTGCTTTTGTTCAGCTGTTTTTCCTGTTAAATTAAGACCATATTTGTAGCGTTCGGGGAGACAGTGGTGGGGAATACTTTGCTGACAATGAAAAACAGGAAATGTTCGCCAACCAATCATAAAAGCTTAAACTTCTTCCTCCACAGGCCCACCAGGTGGCTTAAAAATACACAAAACAATAAATATTACACAAAGAAAATCCAATCCAGTATTCTCATTGCAATAGCTTCAACCAAAATTTAGTTCTAGTCGAAGAACGTTTCATTTATTACAGAAGAAAGGGAGCAGCAGATATATTTATTTAATTAAAGTTCACTCCTTTATCCAACTGGAATGTGAAACCGAACATAAGTCGTCCCCCCGTCTGCCTCATTAAAAACATAAACACATCTCCTCTATTGATTATGTCTGGATGTCTTAATCAGATCAGCAGGAATATTCTGGTTTTCCACTGCAGGAAAGTACATTAAATGCCAAAATATTGATCAGACGCTTCATTCCCAATGCACGGCTCCGTCATTAAACCAATCGCCCTTTGGTCCCATGACTCTGATAAGGAGTGACATGAAAAGAAAATGTTCAGATTTAGAATTTCTTCTTATTTTTCCTTTTTTTTTTTTTGGTTGTTTGTTCAAAAGACTGTAGGGGGAAACAGAGTCTGTCCTGAGGCCTCTGGTGACACAGCCTCGCTGTAATCAATAAGAGCGTGTGATGGGTTTTGCATCGATCAGGAAAATGTGGGTTGATGAAGTGTGTGTGTGTGTGGTGGTGGTGTGHGGGGGGGGGGGTCTTTGGGTTTGCTCCAACAGACGTGCTAAAAGAAAAAAAACATTCCACTCAAAAACTTCTCTGTCATCTTTAAACAGCCGAGGTCATCCTCACTCCGGAACGGTAGATCCCCCACCCCCACCCCTCCCTGCACCGAACTGATGGAGTTCTGTGGGAAGCAGCTGTTCCCGCTTTCAAACTGTGGAGCTCCTGATCCACCGAGGAGAGGATAAAAGACTAAAGGAAGAGTTTAACTCTGTAAGCTGGCACTGAGACCCCCGAAAGCCCCGCAAACAAACCGGTAAATCACTGAAAATACTTCTGTTACATGTCAGTCACTGCTGTTTATCTCTGTGTTAACATCTATCTATCTATCTATCTATCTATCTATCTATCTATCTATCTATCTATCTATCTATCTATCTATCTATC